GCTGAGGGGGGGAAACGTTCGCCAGCCCCCTCCGCAGCAGACGTGCAGAGACACATCGCCGCTTGCATGTGTCACTGTTTGCCATTTTCCCACATGTGTGTTTGCACTGAAAGAGTCTTCGCAGATACTGAAAGGTTTGCAAAAGCCCCAGGCCGATTTCGGCAGGCGACTGGGCTCCCAGGTTCCCAATGCTCCTGGTTCCGATTTCGGTGGCCAGGTTCCCAGTTGCTGACTCCGGGGTTCCCAGCAGCGTGCTGGGTTCCCGAATTTCGGGTTCTGGGGTTCTCGGCAATGTAAGGTTGGCTGGGATCCCAGGGTTCTGATTCGGGCGGGTGGGCTCGGGCCCACGATTCCCGAATCTGGGGTCCCCGACCGGCGGTGTAAGATTCTGGCAGTGTAGGGTTCTGGGAGTCTGGATGTCTTGGTTGTGGCCAAGCGACAGGGTCAGTGGTCAGAGAGTTGCGGGCAAAGTTGGTCGGAGGGATTGGAGACAGAGAGAGAGAGGGAAACAATAAACAAGTTTCACCGACCACGATATGAAATTTGGAAATGGATGGAGAGGTCAAAATGAGAGGGTATGCGGTAGATCTGAAGAATACATACCAGAATGCATGTAGGGCAAACTTGGGCACATATAAAAAAGTACCAAGGACATCTATACGCATAGAGGAAAGAAATGTCGTACAAAAAGGTCGTAGTTAAGTCGATTCCATCCCCTTTCCCCTCCCTGGGGGGGAAGGGGGGGGATAGGGGGGGACTACGCACGGGGGGGTACGGAGAGGGGTAGGGGGGGGGCCCAGATCGGATTACTGCCCACTTGCCCACCGTCGGCCCCCATGTGGAGAAGAGGGACAAGGGGTGGGGCCTCCCTGGTGGCAGGGGAGCTCAGGACCCCTCCCCCCGCCTCGGCCCTGGCCCCAGCCCCACTCGCGTGCCCCGGCCACGGCCCCTGGCATGGGCCGGCGCCGCGGACCCGGCCCTGGGCCTGGCTCTGGCCCCAGCCCCGGCCCCAGCCCAGGCCCCCCAGCTCCAGTTGCGGCCCCGGCTCTGGCCCGTGGCCCCGGCCGTGGCCCCGGCCGCGGCCCTGGTCCCTGCCCCAACCCTGGCGTCCCCGGGTCCCCAGGGCCCCAGCCCCAGACCCGTTGCCTCCCAGACGCCCCGCTTTGATTGTCGGGCGGGTGTGAGTGCGATAAGACCGTTTATGTATTTTGGCTTCGGTCAGCTCGCTGTTGATGCATATGTTGCGCGAAAAAACAATTTCATACGCCTCCACACTTATTGTAGTTGTACGCAAAGACGTAAATTACTAAATCCGAGATATGTGTTAAGGCGATCAGGCCCGCTGTATCGTCATGGTTTGGTAAATGTCCTGAATATATGTATTCCCCATGGTTGTGCGATGTTGTTGTACATGTTTGGCGGATGTTTGATGTGTTTGTTGCTTTGCACCTGCGCTTCCGATGTTCAGGACAGGCGTCACACGTCCATCCCGCCAGAGCCCGCGGCGGCGCTGCGGCCGCGCACTTGCGCCAGGGGAAGGGAGGAAAAGGCATCTCCCCTCGCCTTTCCTCTCCCTCGTCTCGGCGGCAAGCCGCCTCCCCCCATCCATCCCTCCTCGCCCTTCCCCCGCCCCCCCCCCATGCCTCTCCCCCCCCCCGACCCCCTCCCGCTCGGCGGCGAGCCGCTTGCCTCGCCACCCTTCCCCCCCATTCGGCGGCAGACCGTCCCCGCGCTGCCCCGCCCCTCCCGCTCGACCCCTCTGCGGCAGGCCGCCCCCCCCCGCCCTCCTCCCACGGCGGCAAGCCGCCTCGACCCGTCGGCGGCAGAGGCCCCCCCCCCCCCCTTTGCGGCGGGAGACCGCCTCATCCCTTGGCGGCAGACCGCCTCCCCCTCCCCGCCCTTCCCAAGTCGGCGGCAAACCGCACCCCCCCCCGCCCCGTTTTCCGTTTCCTCACCCCGTTGCTTCGGCGGCGACCGCCCCCCGACCTCCGCCGCCCTCGTCGCGGAAGGGGGAGAAAGGGGGGGGGCGATGAAACGGCGGGGGGAGGAGGGGCGCGGAGGGGGCGGGAGGAGGAGGAGGAGGAGGAGGAGGAGGAGGAGGAGGAGGAGGAGGAGGAGGACGAGGACGAGGACGAGGACGAGGACGAGGACGAGGAGCAGAGGGGGGCTTCCCGCCGCGCGCCCGCCCCGGCTCGAGTTTCACTCCTAAGGCGATTCGCTGGTTTCAACACTCCTAAGGGGAGCGGCGGGGGGGTATTTCCCTCGGCCCCCTTTTCGCGGATTTGCGTGGGGATGTCCCAGGCGGTTTTGCCTTTTTCTCCTCCAACATGTTTCGCTTTCGGAGCAGATTTGGAGGATGTTTCAGGCGATTCGCTGGTTTTAGCACTCCTAGGGGGAGCGGCGGAGGGGTATTTCCCTCAGCCCCTTTCGCGGGATGTTGCGGGGATGTTTCAGGCGGTTTTGCCTTTTTCCTCCTCCAACATGTTTCGCTTTCGGAGCAGATTTGGAGGATGTCTCAGGCGATTCGCTGGCTTCAGCACTCCAAGGGGAGCGGCGGGGGGGGTATGTCACTCGGCCTCTTTTCGCGGGATTGCGTGGGGATGTCTCCGGCGGTTTGGCCATTTTCTCTTCCAACATGCTTCGCTTTCGGAGCAGATTTGGAGGGGGTCTCAGGCGATTCGCTGGTTTCAGCACTCTAAGGCGAGCGGCGGGGGGGCATTTCACTCGGCCCCTTTCGCGGGATTGCGTGGGGGTGTCTCAGGCGGCTTGGCCATTTTCTCTTCCAACATGTTTCGCTGTCGGAGCAGATTTGGAGGACGTTCGCGCCCAGTGCGCGGGGATGTCTCAGGCGGTTTGGCCGTTATGATGTTGGGCATCTATCGTTTTCGGAACAATTTCGGGAGGATGTATCAGGCGATTTGCTGGTTTCAGCACCCCCAAGGAGGAGGAGAAGGAGGAGGAAGAGGAGGAGGAGGAGGAGGAGGACGAGAAGGAGGAAGCGAGGAGGAGGAGGAAGAGGACGAGGAGGAGGAGGAGGAGGACAGCATGAACACGGTAGGGTCAGAAGCAGGAAGGGGAGGATGATGATGATGATGATGATGATGATGAGGAGGAGGAGGAGGAGGAGGAGGAGGAGGAGGAGGAGGACGTGGGCAACTCGAGTAGCCACGGCCAGACGATCGAGGTTCGATGTTCCAGGGCTTTAGGTTTTACTCAAACGCGTCCGCCTCACTCTCCTTCGCTCTCCGCCCTCCTTCACGTTTCTGCATTCATGCCCACTCATACTCAGACCCAGTCACACGCAGACTCACTCGAACTTGGACTCGCTCATATCCATACTTAAACATACTCGCACTCAGACTCACGCTCAGAACCACTCATACTCAGACTGGCTCCTGCTCAGACTCATCATCCTTCGGTCCGCTCAAACGCAGACCGACTCACACTCAGACTGCCCCACATCCATGCCCAATCACACTCGGCACACTCGCACTCCGATTCCTTAACACACACTTTTTCTCACACTCAGACCCACTCAAGCCCAGACTCACGCATGCTCAGACTCATCATGCTACGATCCGCTCAATCCCAGACTGGCTCACACTCAGATTCGTCCATGCTCAGACCCACCCGCGCACATACGAACTCGCACTCATATTTACTCACACGCATACCCACTCAAACCCAGGCTCAATCGCACCTAGATTAACTCACACTCACAATCAGACGCCCTCAGATTTGCTATTGGTCGCACTCATGCTTGCAGACTGTGGGAATGTCTCGAGCGAGCGGTTCTCCCTTGCACACAGGCGCTCATTGACAGAAATCAATAGAAAGACGTACCAAGATAATGATATGCACATATGGGGAGCCCCGCGTCGAGTATTTTTTCCAAGCCGAATTGGGATACATGTATTTATATATACACACATATATACCCCCCCCCCCCTCAATTGCCCATCTGCGAGGGGGCGCAGGGGAGGGGGGGAGGGGCTGTTGTTCTCCAGATCGGACTAGAAGCACACAAGCATCTACAATCAGGACATATAGAGCAGGACGTATTTGAATGACGAAGGGGGTTGATGGGGCAGTAGCAGGGTGGCCAGGCGAAACAGCATGAGCAGCAGCGCCAGCAGCGGAGCGGGGATGATGATGAGGAGGAGGAGCAGCAGCAGCAGCAGCAGCAGCAGCGGCAGGGCATGGGTGAGAGGCTACGGCGTAGGATGAGCAGGATGCGGAGAGGAGGAGAGGACAGGGGGAGAAGGACTGGGGCAATGAGGGACTGCTGAGGAGCACGATCGGGATTTCGGTTTCAGCCATGCCCCCCCCCCCCAGGCCCAAGCTTTCGCATCAACCCCAATGCGTCCTGCCCGCAGGCACGGCGAGGGGCGGACTGTCTCTCAGCCGGGCACGACGCGTCAGCTATCGGCACGGCGCCAACTATGTGCAGACGAGGGGCAGCGGCAGACCAGACAACGAAACTAAAAGTGGGCTCGGGCCCTGCGCGCCTTCTTCCTCGGCCGTTCGTCAGTCTTCTCCTCGGCGAGGGGGAGCTCGTCGCCGCCGTCGACGACGACGGCGTTCTCGCGCACAGGGATGTCGAGAACCGAGTTCTGCTCCAAAGGGCCGCCCTTAGTAAATGCCGAGATAGCCACCTGCTTTTTGGACATCGGGTTCTGGCCAGGCAGTGCTATCTGCGAGGCCCAGAAAGGAGCGGCGAAGTTGGAACCAGGCTTGCGCGTGATCAGGCGCGGGTGGAGCGAGAAGAGCGTCGCCGTCGCGCGGGTCAGCCGCCCGAGTCCAATCCTTCTGCGACCCATATCATCGGCTGGTCCCCGAGTCTCGATGTTCTTGGTGGCTGGGATCAACTGGAGTTCACCCTTCCAGAACTTGTCATGGGCGACGACCGCCCGAGGGCTCTCGTAGACGCCCAGTCTGGCGCAGCCCAGCTTGGAGCCCGGCTCCTCCGACAAGCAGTTCAGGCTGAGCCAGATCTGCGA